CACAGCGCCTGCTCAGGGTCGCGAAATTCGCCCTGCCAGGCGTATCAATCCTACTCGTCTTCAAGGATTTATCGTGCCAATTGCCTTTGAGTGCCGAACTGACTCTCCTAGCCGTATCCTAGTTTTTCAAGAAAACAAATCTATACAGGACCCAAAGCATGGTTTAAAAATTAAGATATTATTGTACTGTAAAGGCTTGGCCACGCACCTTCAGTGTCATGCAGAAAATACACCTCTTTGTCATCCAGATAGCGGACGTAATGACTGGAGCCTGCTTGCCAAGAACAGTACGACCGGTCGTTGTCGACAAGATCTCGCAGCGCTGTAAATGTGAAAAAGCATTTATAGCAGCCGAGATTAAGCTGTACCGACGCAGCATCGTGCATGCAGACTGATGGTGTCAGTCTGACCCCTCTCTCCTCCCTTCCTCCCGGTTTGTTCTGTGGTACGATCCCCACAGTTTCTCCATGTAGTGCTACGACCCTCCCCATCCTGTGTACCATAGACCATAGTTTTTCGCACTTTCTACAATTTTTTCCTAGTTTCATGCAAAAAAAAATCGGCGTCTAAATCGAGTCGAGTTGCAGGGAGGGCAAGGGGAGGGGGCATCATTACTGATCTCAACTATTAGAAACGGTGTATATAGTGAAATGAAATTGGAAAAGCCAAGAAAAGCCATCAATCGCAAAAAAAACTTTCTGCGACTTGAAAACTTTTTCTCGAAGGAAAATGTCACACCTCTCCCAGCAACCCACTAGAGCACTCCTTTTGGGATTTGCTTAAGGATGCTGTACACTATGGTAAGAAAAATCTCCGAAAACTTTTTCATTGACTTAGAACATCAAAAGATATACCTTCTCCTGGTGTGGCTTCCATTTCAAATGTAAGTTTAACTGCATTTCGATCTGAAATCCAACACTATCATTCAGTTAACACACTTGTTACGATCGTGATCACCTGTGTGGTAGTAAAGAAGCTTCTAGAGCAATCGCCTCCTTCGAGTAACCGACTTATCTACAGGCCAAATGGTTCATTCCCACGGGAACAAGGGGAACCATGGGCCACCTTTAGCAATATTTGAGGTCATCCCTTCGCCCAGCGAATGTTAATAAATCCCAAGTTCATCTTGACCTCGATCCGCAGGTGAGGCGGTCCTGATGGTAATATAGGCGGAATGACAATAGATTCGCGCCGACTGTGAACTGTACCCTGACTAAGTACCCTACTGCGGCTACGGAAAAATGAGCGCATGGAATCCTGTTGGCTGTTGTAAGTGAACTAAGCAAATGTAGAAAGGACGTACTCTCAGATACAGTAATGACGTGGCCTGGATCCAGTTTGATTGGAGCCTTGCCCTGAAGGGAGATTGTAACCGATCCTAGCTTGAGGTAGACCATTGCTTTCCTGGAACTTCCCAGTGTTTAGAGCGCCCAAGTGTACACTCCTTATCCGTGAGACGGAGTAGGCATGGCATTTGAACATGGCCTGGGACAGGTTACTCGTGGGATGTTTCAGCTTGGGACAACTGTCATCTTGTTCGGTGTTGACCAGAGACTTGATTACAACTGCCTCAAAATGATAATATCTCACGATATGCTTTGCCGCCGCCACGTTCAGCTGAAGTACGCAGCCACGCCTACCTCATCTCGGGGATTCAAATTGTAGCATATTCAAATGATAACATGAATCAGAAGAGGAGTCTTACGAAGAATCACCCTGTGGCCACAATGTGGAATCCCTGATGAGATCTGGACGAAATGTGTCGCACTGTTGCGTGAAGAGGCAAAAGCATTGGGTCGGGGAATCGGATATCACATTCTGTAAATAGAATTCATTCCTGCTGTTGAATTGAAAAACAATTTTTTTATGGTTAGAAAGGTTATATTGCAATTTCTAGCACTTTTTGATTAGAATTTTGCCAGCCCTAGGAAGTGGTCCCCTTGCTCCAGGCCACTTCCAATGGGTGGCACTAGCTGTTGCTTTGGTGGTAGCCGAGTGACACTGCCGATCAGAAGGAAGGCTCGGCTACCTAAAGGCCGCCCGACTGAGCTATACCAGCGGCCATCTATCCAAATATACAGCTGCGGAAGAAAAATTCAAAATAAGCTAAAAGAGTTGGAATTTTGTATTAAAT